TTATAAAATTTAAACTTGTACCCTTGGATCTCTTTTTATGCGGATTTTTCAAACCCTTTTTTCGCTGTAGCGATTTTGCTTTTTTGAGAGCTTTTATTATTTTTTTTTTCAATGTGTAAGGGGCAATGCTTCTGATAAATAATTTGTCTTTGTATTCTTACATACAAGTAACTACTAAGTAATTCGGCTAAGTAACTATGTTACGTATCGTCACCTGAAATGCAAAATAACGTAACAACATCTTCACTGAAATGGAAAAAGTCGTGACTTATTTTTTTTTTTATTTTTTTTTTCATAAAACGATGTGGGGGCTTGTAATTCAATGAAATCCATAATAGCAATCAAAAATTTTGAATTTTTTATAAGTTACGACCTTTTGCATTTCAGTGACGATGTTGTTAAGTTATTTTGCATTTCAGGTGACGATATGTATAAATGAGAATATAATATTTATAAAAATCATTATTTTGTATTTTAATTCATAAATGAGTAGGACATTAGCATTTTCAAATGAATATTCCTGGTTTAGTGCCCATACATATGTATGTATGTATGTAGTATAATACAAACTACTATTTGGGGTGTTAAACAGTATTTGATAATTAAGGCTGGTCCACATAGAACTTTCGTGTTCACTTTGTAGTTGGCGTTGGTTTGACAGAACGCATGTTAAAAGTATGCGTTCTACAATGAAGCTTGGCAGAGACTACTTTGGCCACTAAATTAACATATTACGGAGATAAATTAACACTTGATATCAATAATTGCATGAAAAACTATATTTCTTGCCCTCATTTGATTAAAAGGAAAAAAACATTTCATATAATTTTATTTATTTGCAACAGCTGGCGACCAACGCAGCGATCTTTCTGCTTTGTGTTGGCCTTAGCGTTGCCAAATTTTGGCTATGTGGACGGCTGCTTTGAAATTCAACGCCAATGCAACGGCAGAGTTGTATGTGAACCGGCCTCTATTCTTTCTTTACGCAAATTTTCCCATGTCTACATATCCATACATACATACATATATTTTTTCACCAAGGGTAATATTTCATTCAGGTATTCAGTGCTTACTTGTTTTTTGTTTCGGCGGCACAAACGATTATAATGTCTTCGTTACTTACTTTTCTCTGTAAAGACAAAATACACGCATATTTACATACATACATAAATACGTACATGCATATATAAATATGCATGTTATGTATGTACAGATGTATGTATATAACTCTAAAAAATATTTCATTCCATAATCTATGCTTATTTATGTAATAAATTTTATTTGTTGTTTTAATTGCTGCCCTAATATAATATTCACATATTTATAATATAATATATAAAACGAACTATATTCGGCCTTTCACATGTACACAATCGGCTTCTTACACGTACGTAATCAGCGTTGCCACTTGAGAATATTTTAAGGTACCAAAAAGCCTACCAAATCAGTTTGCAAACTACCAAAAAAATTTTTATCAATAAAACGAGATTTTATTAAATTTTGCAGATTAACAGTAGGTATAAATTAAAATACCAAATAATATGGTTTACTGTGCTACAGTTGGTTATCCATTCATGCAATACTTGAGTTTACACAAAATAAATTCGGGCGTTTAAATAAATTAATTAACGTATCGTATAAAAAACAGTTATAAGCATTGTATATAGTTTTGATATTAAATCAATTCATAACAAACATTTTGATGTATAAAACAACAAAGTCAGACATTTTATGCGTTTAAATAAAATTTAGGTTGTTCACACTTGCTTGGTTATCAGGTTATCTGGTTATGTGGTTATATTTTTATTCCATTTACAACAATAAAATACACTGCAGAATAATAATATTTAACCAGATAACCTGATAACCAAGCAAGTGTGAACAACCTAAGTATCAAAAATATTGTACACAAAACGTTTGTAAAAAACGTACCGAGTATATATATCTTTGGGATCAATTCAATTCATTTCAAACGTTTTTTTTTTCTTCGACAATACAATTTCAAGCATTTTATTCGTTTAAAAACAAAAAGTTTTTATATCCCCTAATTGTATACAAAACGTTTGTGAAAAAATCATACATCTTTGAGATCTCTTTTTGCTGACCACACGTAATGTGCATCAGCCTTTTGTACTAGTTCTTTACAGTGCATAATACTATTTATTGTACTGATGTTTGGTTTATTTCAGAGTAATTTTCAGTATTTGTTAATTGACACATTGTACAGCCTACTTAGTCGCAATTTTTTACCTGAACAAGTCGTCGCTATTATTGTCCACACTTACTTCGGACGGTTTAGAGGCTTTATAGATATACCTGCAAATAAACAACGATTAAAAAGTAACTAATTTAAACCAAAATAACTTACTTGTCCATCACTAATCTTTTCGCTTGTTTGTTAAATTCAATTGAAGAAAGGCGCGCAAATGCCAAGTTTTTGACATTTAACATCTTTCTTTCACTCGCCACTTCTCGCTCGCTATGTTTGAGTTCCGGTCGCTTAAAGAAGACTTTTGCATGTGAAAGCAACAACGAAGTTAGCTAGCACGGATAGACGATAGCGAGTTTGGTTATACCTCATTGAGTTCGTTCGTTTCGCCACTCGCTAACTGTTGGCGAATCGATGACGG